CGTTCTCTGTCCTCATCGATTCGATCATTCCGCGCGTGGTTTTGCGGAAGGCATTAATATTTTCCGACGGTGTAAACGCACTCTATAATTTCATTGCTTCGTCTCCTTAATTAACGGACTGAAGATTCTGTTAAAAATTCCGCGCGGCTCGTTAACAAGCTTCAATCCGAAGCGCAATAAATCTGTTAATTGAATGTACAGATTTGTTTCTCGTGTCGGTGCCCGTGAACGAACGCGTGTAATTAGAATCGAGAGGAAAAAATCGATTCCTGCTTCGCTCGTGGAGAATATTATCGTTCTTTTTCCTCCTCTCTCGTAAAAATCGCGGGCTCCGCATAAACATCGGTTAATTTCTATTAGCGCGAGGTGTGATTTCACGATGCCGGCACACGGACGTCTCCAATTTCCACGCTGACCCGAATTACATTGCCAATTTCCCCTTCACTTTTACGATTTATTTTGTTTCCTTAACGAGCGCCGCCGCCTATCTATCTAGCCATCGATCAAACCCCGATTTGCATAATGTTCGATTTTACAGCTGATGATTTATCTTCCGACCGGGCTTCGACACCGATCCCGCTGTTAATTGGACTCCTCGAAACGCGTTTCCCCTGTACCCCGTACTTTTTTTATCGCCGCGAACAATCAGTTGTCGTTTTTTTTCCAGTCGTAACAAGATGTAATTCCGCGAGGTATAATTCACCGGGGCCGAGCCGCGCAGCCAATTTCTCTTTTACACTTACGATTCGTTCCTTTTCCCCGCGATGTCACTGCACAGCGTACGCTGTAAACGGTAATCCCACCTGGCTGATGGAATTTTTAATTTCACGAAACGGGGATCTATCGCGATTCCGGTTTCCGCGAGCGGTGACGTTCGTAGAATGGCCGGCCGATCGAAATCGCGCGAGTTTTCGCAACGAATGAGAGAGAGAGAGAAATTCGCCGGCGGTTTCAGACGATTTCATGAAAATTTCTGTTACGCTACCTTTCCAGGCGGCATAGACGGCAAGTTTCGCCACTTCGAGCAGGACGCCGAGTACAAGCTGCAGCTGAACCTAAATCAAGGCCTGAAATTCCCCTTGACTAACGGAAGCCTCTACGGACGGTTGCACAACCATCAGAACAGAGGTGAGTAGACCGTGTTCCCTCTTCCATTCATTTCCTTAATCGGTGTTTTCGTCCCGATCAAACGCCGACCAAGCATTTTTATTCGAGCACGCGTTTCTACGTTAATTAACCGTTTGAGTTTTGAGGAGCGCTACAGCGCTCTTCTTGTGTTGTGCCAAAATTGAGAACGCGGAAGCGCTTCTATCAGTATCAATTATAATTTTCTTACTATGTTTTCCAAGAAATAAATCAAAGTAAATTTATTTGAATAAATGTTATTTTTCGATATTTTTTTGTAATAACACAATATTTCACATTAGATAAGTACTCTTATTAACGCTTTGCACTCGACGATATTTTTCATGAAAAATATCCATTACTTTCTGACTAAATATTAACGATATTATTCGCAACTAACACAATTGATTATCTTATATAAAATAAGAGACAACTATTTTACTTCGATGTTTTATGTGTTGATACGTTACACAAGGTTCAATATTGAATTGAAAATTTTATAAGTTTGCTGCTGCCCCTCGAGTGTAAAGGGTTAATTTTTTTGCATGCACGCCCCATCACTTCCGCATTTTTGGTAAATATGCACAAAAGTTGTTTAGCATCCAAACGGTTATTCCCTATAACTTCGAACCACGTCTCGTTTCAATATCCTTTATCATTCGCGATGATTCTAATCGCTTTTTATTTAATATCCTATTATCTTCTACGATATTCTCTATTATCATTGTATTATCATATGAAATTCTATATCATATTCGATTTAGGATTCACAGTTCCTCGGAGGAATCTAGCGAATAAAGAGAAAAGAAATTCAATAGATACTCGTCCTTCGGTTCGTCCTTTACACGCATAAATGCACACTGGATGCATACCCGCGTCTTGTGCAACAAAGCCGGAGCGATAGCTGGAACTATTTATTAGCGTAATGCCAGTGCATCCACCGCAAACATATTCCCCCGCGAATTCTTACGCGAGTCTCCCTTCCTCCTAATTTCCTCGGACGAAGGATTTCATTCTGGCTGAAATACTTTGCCTTCGCCGTTCACCGTTTAGAAACGCTTACCATTAATCTCCGCTGATTCACAATCGATATTCGCGGAGGCGTGAATGCGCATCTCCCAACAATGTTATTGCGACATTGTTCATCCGAACGGTCGTAAACTTGCGCGCGTCCGCCATTTGTTTCGGTAACTGTCCCCGCGTATTATGCGGGACAATATTAACTCGAAACAATGGAAAACGCTTTTGTCGAGTCTCCGATTATTTTCAATTTTATTACGACAAACATCGAAAGAACATTCACCGGAATGGTAAAACCGTTAACACTTATATTTATTATTTGATTTGAACCAGACAATTTTTAAAATCTCGTTACTATTGAATATCGTTATTGTATATTTTCATATTATAACAAAATGTGGAAGATATTGTTCAAAACGGTAAGTACAGAAAACAACAGGAACGCGAATGATCCGATTCGTTTATGTATCCGAGAATTAAGACGGTCGGTGAAGTAATATATCGAGAAGCTTTTATCTTGCTGTTTACAAGAAATCGCTTAGGTATCCCGACAAGCAATTCCCGAGCAGAGAACACGCTCTGAATTTTTGATCGCGAGGCTCACGCGACCCGCTTAACACGCTCGAGGAATTTCGTACGACGATAATCTTCGGCAGAACGCGCGGAGGGAGCCGTTTCCTTGGCGGAGAGATACCAACGAGCTCGAACGTCTTAAATAATGGGCCACCGTTCAACTGGAAAATCGATATCGCCGGTCACGTCCCATGGTATCGTCGTATCTCTCGATCGAGACCATTACGCAGTGTCCTTGAGAACGACATCCTGCGCGTTTCTACGTCCGCCGATAACATCTCCGGATCTATTTCCATAAATATCCGGAAGTGTAATCCCCGGGAATTCCTGGATATTTGTTAATCTCGTGAAACCTCCTCCTACGTTCAAGTAACTGGCATTCTCCTGTGCAATCTCTGAATAGGAATTATTCAAATGTTCTTTTTTAAAAGATGTCCATTACACTTGTAAATATGTTAACCAATCGATCCTCGATACCCGTGCTATTCGAAGTTCTCGCAAGATTTTCGCCTTTGTTGAAAATAATACGATTGCAACAGAATGTTAATGAAACTCTGTTAATATCTCCGAGCTATCTATATGAGATACGATCCTCGTGCTGGAATCCTCGGAGAACAAGGATTTCCATAAATAAATGCTAAGAGGCAAGAGAAAGTATTCCTCCGAACGGTAAAAGTCGAAGTGGAAGGATCAATTAAATCGATTCCCCTGAAGCGAACCGGTCTATTAAGTCAATACTCGATGCTTCTTTCTAACTAGAGTCAATTTCCAGGGAAGACCGGCACGATAACAATGGGCATTCAACACTATCCCAGAACGCAGTCGGTGAACGAGGACAGCAATTACGCCTCTCTTCCGGCGGAGCTTTCTTCGTTCACTAGTTCAACGTTCGAGCCGCGGCAGGAATCGAATCCCGCCGAGCAACCGAAGAGGAACACGACGGAGCAGCAGAACAAGCGTCCCAGGCCGAACGAGAGTTTCCAGGAGTTGCCCTGTAATCGCAGGAAGATCGGCAGCACGGATGTCTTCGGGCAGAACATGGAGAACCTGGTCCAGCTGGACGAGCCGTGCGCGAAACGGAAGTTCACCAAGAGCCTGGACGAGATACGCGAGGAGCCGCCCAGGAGACACGCGAGGAGCGTGCTGGGATTAGAGAACTTGATGATAGGATTGGATAACAATCTTCAGGAGCAGCCGCGATACCCCAGAGTCGCGCTCAGGAGGAACCAGAGCTTCGACCATGCTAGATGCCAATCGTGAGCGTGCATTATTATCGAGCCTATTTTAACCCTTAGCACTCCAGACGGTTTCATAACGTGTCAGCAACTCCTACCAATTTTGATGGTAGTCCTACTGAGAATTAACAATGTTGTAACATTTCTTAGACCTTTAATTCCCTTCTCGGTACAAACTTTGTATATCTGGAAGATCTAATAATCTTAAGGTAGTCTTCTTAAAATTCATTATAATATTTAATATTACAACTGGTGCTATATTGGAGCCTACAGAGTTCAAAGGGTTAACACTAGGTTTGCGGAACGCGTCAATTGGGCGCGTATTCAATTATATGAAGATCACTCGGTTCTTTAGTTTCCAAAATCCAGATGGACGAACTTCAGGTTTTATAGGTCAAACAGAATGAACTTGTATGGTAAATATTTGTAAACCGAGTGTTAAAACGAACTCTTAACTCTAGATCACTGAACTGTGTACAACAGGCACTTGTTTCGTAGATAGGAATAGATATGATAGGTATTTTGCGAGGTTAGTGATATAGGAATAATAGTGCGAATAATGGTACTTTCAATGATGAAGAAGATAACCTGAGAATAATCGATCACCTCTTCAGGTACCATCGACCGATTCTCGACTCGAGGACGTACGACTTGAAGAAGCAGGAGCAAAGGAAGGAGCAGCAGAATGTTCAGAGGCAGGAAGCGCAGAGCGAAGCGGATGGTTACGAGACGTCCGACGATGAGAGCTGCGACCTTGAGAATGGAGACTTCGACACGATGAGCTCCTGCAGAAGCCGAAGCAGGAGCTGTTGCTCGGTTACCACCGTGGCGAACGATGATTTCGAATATTTTCAACGTAAGGGAACGAAGGTATCATTGTGTACTTCATTATATGTTGTTACTCGGTAATCACTCTTTCGAAATACAATTCAAAGCTGTTTAAAGTTGTCCCATTAAACATTCGAAGCTCATACAGTACATCTTCATGTATCGTTAATCATTTGTGAATTAAGACCTATCCCAGACCTTGAAGAACTTAACGTCGAGCACTGAAAAACCTATTGCGATCTAATGTCTACCTTCTAACAAGCACTAAGACTAACAGGAATGACAAAAACAAAGGTAACACTTCTCTCTATGGCGTCTAACATCTAATCTCCAGAACACGTTCCTCCATCGCTGAAAGCAAGGTTCAAGTTTAAAAGCTATCTTCATCGGACCATCGACAAAGTTTCTCCTCCCCGATCCCGTAACTCTGCACCGAAGGCCACACCTTCCCGCTATTCGCACGTTCATCTCACGCCGGACAGCACGATTCGCTACCAGCCGCTTGTTCCTCTAGAAACACCGCAGGAATCGGCCGCGCGAGCACTTTATTGGCCTTTCATCGGCGTCGGCCCGGTTGCGTAACTCGGCGGATTGTGAGAACGTTCTGTTTTGCAGGTGGAGTTGTTGCCCTCGAAGAGAGCCGGCGAGGTAAAGGTCAACATGCGATCTTTCACGCCGAGGATCATCGAGCACGGTCCAGAGGAGGAGAGGAGGGGCAAAGTAGCCGACACCAAGCCTAGCATACAGTCCTACCATCTGAAAAAGAAGAGAATCAGCCCCGGATACTCGATGAACGACCTGGACAAGCTGACCATCGACAGGAAGCTGCCGGACCTCTCGATCGAGAGCCTGAAGAGCATCCTGAAGAACTCGGGCGTTAGCTACCTGGACAACGGAGAGCTCTGCAGACACGACATCGGCGGCTCCGCGCCTGATTTCAAGAAGATCTTTGTCACCGAGTTCATATAAAACCCTGGAGAATGGAGTTGATAAGATCGTTGATGTATCTATGAATTTAAACGAAGTCGAGAAGAATAAAATAGGTCGTTGTTGATCGTGGAAGATCGAAGATGTAGGTTTGACGAAGAGGATCATCAGTCGATGAAGAAACTGAGGAGTAAAGAAGAACATGATGCTTGATCTTGTGAATGGAAAGCGTAGGATGAGTGTTGGATAATTAATGAATGACCTGGACTAGTTGATCGATAAGAGAAGAAGATCCTGGAGAATCTGTGAAGAGCTGACGAAGACCTATGAAGAGGCGATGATAGAGACTGTACAAAGTGTTCATATATAAACTAATTAAGCTTCTGCCGTTCGATTCTGTATAAACCGAAAGAACGAACTGTTAGATATATTCAATTAAGAGTTTCGTTTTTATACGACGCGGAGAGACACGAATCTGTACAAAGTATCTTTGTAAATCGAGGAAGCTTCGTTTTTAGAAAAGTAAGGATCGATCCTCGAGAGAAATCACCGGGTAATCTCTTGCAGTTCCTCCGTGTCGGAGATCTAGAAAATTATATAACCGTCGTGCGGAAGTAGTCGGATTGGAAAGTTTGCGAACCCACCAGATCGGATTGAAGAAGTCATTAATTAAATCAATTGTTAGTTTCTTTTCAATCCTTTATTTCGTAATTGCAGCGATCTCTATCGTTTCGCTGTTGCCCGTGTCAATAGGATGAAAGCGAGAATCGAATTACAATTCTCTTGGCCAACAATTCAAGAATTCTTTACTATCTCAATATTAAAAAGTTTATTTTCTTTGAGAATCATCCAATTACGCAATCATCGGTTAACACTAGAACTATCGAGCATTTAATACGATTAATATGCAATTCCTATGAAAATTGTAACAATAGATTATTTTCAGTTTCTTCAGACATTCATTATAGTACTGAAATGAATTTATTTTCAAAATCATTTCGAATATTCAGTGCTTCGAAGATATCAATAATTGCTAAACAAAAAAATCGAAACCAGTCATTTTGACTGATACGGTGGTTCTAGTATTAAATAACAAATTTGATCGAATAACTTCTTCCGAACGGTGTGGTTCGCGAATCGAAAAAAAAAAGAAAACTGACGGAACTTTATTTCGGCTGGTCGTATTCCGTTTAAATAGAGCGATGCATTACCGCGCGGCATCCGCCCGTAAATCACCGACATAACAAGTTTACGGGCCGAGGATCGAAATTGCGCCGACTGAGTTACGATCCGTACGGACAAGACGAACACTAAATAGGAATGCGGAGCGGACGCGTGTAAAATATTTGTAAGATATGCCCCCATTGTTTCCGCGGTCCCGTTTCACCGGTTCTGTTACATAAGAAAATCTTTCGAAAGCGTTCGCTTCTCTATCTCGCTCTTTCCATTGCCCCACTCCCCATTCGGTATTGTATGGAGATCGTTTTGTATATACATTGTATATTTGTATGGTAATATTTAATTCGGCAAATACATGTGTACGTGGCAACACGTGTTCCAATTAATCCCGATGATATCTGTTGCAGGTGTCGACCATCGTAATTCCCGCTGATGACAGAATTTATTGCTTATTTTTCCATTGATAATGTACGCTCGTTAATTCGGAAGTTTTATTAACTTTCAGGTATGATTTGCGATGCTTGAAATTTCATATTTCCGATTTCTATTAGCTCTAACCATCGTTCCCTTACAATATCTAATTATTTTGACGTCGATCCTTAGTCTATCGATACTCTACATTATCTCTATTTTCATAAATTATTCCCAGCCTTTTTACAATTCCTTTCACACGTTTATCTTAATTACTCATAACATATTTCTCCAAACATTCCAGTAGTAACTCTTCAAAAATTATACAACTAATACTCCTTTTCGGCACCTCCAAATCCCAACCCCCAAATGCTCCAGGTAACGCCACAGTTAAGTATACCAAATAGAACTCTTTATTTCTACCTTATACAATTACCCTAAGAATTACATCTATAAATACTTAACCGTACATAAAACTGCTCGCGTTCGTACGTCCACAGATTCCAATCCACCAAGGACAAGTCCAACAAACGAAACTCCGTATCCCGGTCCATTGAACACCGTATCAACAGCCAGTACGCAGTGACAATATAAATCTCGTTGAATTGTATAAAACCTCGAGCCAGGTTTCGTGGACAAACGGGGAACCGTGAAGCCGCATAAAAGCGGGGCGGTCTATTAATTGCAAAAGGTACGGCGCGGAGTGCTCTCGGCTCCCCGGTCTAGAATCTCTATCGCGGCCCGAACGGAGCTAATTAGTTTCAGTTAACCGGAGCCGCGTTCGGAGGCGGTCGTAAAGCCTCCTTATTGGCTGACAGGCCGCAATTATTACGTATTACGTGTACAGAGTATCGGCGCTCGTTGTTTTTCCCCCCGGGCGGATACGAGCGACGCGAACCTCGTTCCCGTCGAGATTACGTGCACACGCCCTCCGATAGCCATCCGTCCGCCACCCCCTTACCCCCCGGATCTCTCCTAATCGCCGCTTAATTATCTAATTAAATTGTACACCGCGTTTTATTACGCTCGCGTTGACTAGCAATACACGGTTTGGCATCGTTAATCGTATCTCTAATTATCGTCAGTGGCGTAGAAACCGTTCGCCGGGCTGGGACAAAAACCCGGCAGGTATTAACGTCGCGGATCGTTACGTAACGAGCATCACCACGGAATGCCCGGCAAAAAGCGGTTATCGTTGCAGTTAATGGGACGCTGATAATTCGTCGCGTATGAAATCAGCCCCGCTTTTTCCATGGAATCCCGTCACGGGATAAACATCGGCGCGGTCTCGCAATCGACGACGGTGCTCGACGAGTTCGTAATCCTTGTCGAATTGTTTGTAAATTGAGATAATTGTGATCCCCGACGTCGCGTCCCGTCGGGTTTCTACCTCCAACGAGGAATCGTTGATTAAATTCTGACGTGCCGCGCATTCTTTGGTTATGGATGTACTTAAGCGAGGCTTGTTCTCGTTCGATGCTCAAGTTGATAATAAGAGCGCGGTTATTACAGTCTGTGCATTGTGAGTTAAGTAATGGCTGTAATGGTATTATGAAGTTTCTTTTTATAAGATGAACTTGCATTCTTCGAGGATTGTCTATTGTCGAGCTCTCGATTGCGGATTTGAGAAAGAGGATTGAGAAGTCTTGTACAGTCTTTTGATTCGCTTGTAAATAGGCATGCCTGTTGCGTATAAAATTCTCGCGGACAATGGGGAATATTCATTGTCGACTCTAGTCGGATGCTTAAAGTTGAAACGCGACGATTCTGTTTCTACGCCACTGTGTAAAATAGAACTATGGTGTGCTTTGGTAGAAAATTGCAGAATTGAGATCGTGTCCGACCCGTAGAGATCAGTGGCTCGCGTAGACGAGATCGTTCCCGCGAAAGATTGCCTCGATCATCGACTTCCGGTTGAACTTTCCGCCCCTGGACTCGACGATCGCCACCAGTTGCTGATATCGCTTCCACGCGGTCACCGAGGCCGCTTCCCCTTCCGGCGTGTTCTTAATCTTCTGATACACGTCCGTGCTCCTGACCGCAGCTTCCGAAGTCTGACAGACGCTTTCCGTGTCCGGTATCATCTGAAATATCACACGAAACGTGTTTCAGGGCCGAGTGACATCATTCGAAATCCGAGGTAAGCTGATAAACATTTGTTTCTCTCCTTCAGTTTTCAGTTTTAATCTTCGCAATGAGTTATTCAATAAATTGCTGTATTAAACAATTTCTCATTTCAAACTCTGTGTGTGTGTGCGTGCGTGCGTGTGTGTGTGTGTGTGTGTGTTTGTAAGCATTGTATTCTGTTTATAGGATTATTTATCACTGACGATTAATTAATGATTTCTTATAATTTATATTTAACATTCTTTTGATTCTTTATGAATATTTTGATGGATTCAAGGTGTGTGTTTCTATGGATTCTTTTATTTCTGTTGTGTATTTATCGCGTGGAATATTTTCAAAGGATTCGCGAGTTTATTGAACTAGCTGTCGTTAAAGATTCGGAAGTCGACAAAAGAATTCCAAGCCCTTCTGCTTTCCCACGTAATACTTCGCCTCGCAACAGTTCCGTCAAGAGATCGAATATTCTGTTTTCAAAAGTGCTCAGTCCGTTCCGCCAAACCGCTCTGAAAACTCGATACTTCCATTTGCTAAACCCTTTATTCTCCGTTCGACAAAAAGCTCTTGAGCTCTGTAGTCACGCATCGTTCGAGTCAAACAGAGGATCTGAATCGTCAAACCGTATTTTACGACCACCGCCGCACGCTTCCATTAAAATTCATTCGGGGAGACATTAGTTACTCTACAGCCACCTCCAACCTAACAAATTTCAATTATTCAACGAAACATTTTCTACATCCTCCCACTATTCATCGAAACTCCGCTACACTAGCCAAATAAAAGAATCGGCATCCCCTTCCAAAAACGTTAAAACACAATCGATATAAAAATCTTATCAACATCTCAATTATAAATACTATTCCCTCAACGATTGACAATCAAAGCCTAACGAAACATCAACTCTACAAAATTTACAACTCATCCAGTTACCTTTAACACTAAAACTACCAGACGAGTCAAAACAACTCATTCCCGATTTCTTTCTGCAATTATTAAAAACAACAAATATTTCTCATTCAAAGAAATCATTAGAAAAATCAAAACTCCATTATACTAGCCAAATAAAAGAATCAGCATGTTCTTCCAAAAACGTTAAAATACAGTCAATCTAAAAATCTCATTAACGTCTCAATTATAAATACTATTCCCTCAATGATTAACAATCAAAGCCTAACATCAACTCTACAAAATTTACAACACATCCAGCTACCTTTAACACTAAACCTACCAAACGAGTCGAAACGACCCATTCACGATTTCTTTCTGCAATTATTAAAAACATAACAAATATCATTCAAAGAAATCATTAGAGAAATAGCTCTAGCAACACGCAAACTGAATTGTGAATTGACTAGAGCCTCAGTAGATGCAATCTTAGAGTTTCTTTCTAGAAAAATTTCAAAAATTCAATTTAAGTAGTAGTGTCAGTGCTGAATCGGAAATATCGGTTACAAAAACACCACCAAGTATATAGCCTGATTCGCAACTCGACAATTCCGCGGTTGGCGTAAATAAAGGAATAAAAGGAACGGGAAAAAATCGGTCCGCGATAAAACGATTGAAAGTCCCACGGCGAAAGTATTCGATCCCGTTTCAATGGTGTAATTAATGGCGAAACAAATCCCAATCAGCGTTCCTTATTTTCCCCAGCTTATCGGTCTAATTAGTGCCGATTCCGGTCGGACCCTGTCGTTTGCTTGACACGCTGGAAAAGCCAGTGCTTTAATCACGGCCCTCGATCTCGAAACGTTTGCCCCGGTTGACCGATGTTTGTAGGACGCCGTGTATACACATGTAACACAAGCCTAAAGCCAGCCCCCTCCCGAAATCAATACTCGGCATTACACCGT